GCATCTATGTGGTGTATATATATATATATATATATATATATATACGTATATATATATGAATATTCATCATAGCGTGTGTGCTGATTGTTCAAATCTGCGCACAGGTGGTATACAGCTAGACGAAGTTGATATACTATTTATAACCATGTTAATCATATCAAATAGAGCGCACCGATGCGATGCTCACCGCAAATTAATGTGATATGACCAGGAGTGTATATTATAATGATCGGATGTGACGACGGCATGACATTTCATGCGCAACGTGCGCGACCCTATGCGTGCCAAATTCAATCACATTTGTGCGACAGGCGGCCAACACTCCTGCTGTTAGCTTTGTACGTGCAAATATTGCGTGTCATGGTTTGCTCGTATAAATGCTACTAGCTGTTTACTGCGAGAGTCCAATTTGTCCACGTTTGAAAGCAATGTATATATAAAAAACATTGCGTGCAACTCGTTTTTGAGCCGCGGCAAAAAACCACAGGCCCGCCCTCTATTGGGCCTAAGCAGAGGGCAATGAACAGAGCTATATTTGAACAATTAATTTGACAACTAGTTAACTATTAATTTAATTCATGTTTTTCTATTAAATTGTGTAATTTTTCTAGATCGTGCAAATGCTGGTCACTTGTGTACACGGGTTCTGGTGCAGTAAACAGGTATAATAATATATATATATATATATATATATATATGTTCCCATACTCCCACCAGGTATTAACAACGGCCCGATACTTGCTGGAGTTATTGGAGCTAGGAAGCCACACTACGACATCTGGGGTAACACGGTGAACGTGGCCAGTCGCATGGAGAGCACAGGTCAGGCAGGGCACATACAGGTACGCTTCCTACTAACTAGATATAGCTGACGAGGTAAAACTGCGATAGAGACACTGAGACATGATGCTACAGCATGATACTCTTAATTTGCCTATAATGATGCCAATTATACTGATTCTACTAGTCGTACTATTACGAATGTTTACCCTGCACGCGTGTGTGCGTGCGTACGTGTGTGCGTGCATGAATATGGAGAGAAAATGAAGTCAGTTGCAGCTAATAATTCGGCATTTTTTATGAACTAGGATTACTAGGCGATGTCCATGCAACACGGACTCCTGGCACCGACTTTCGCGGATTGCATTCTATTCCCAATATGACACTATATATATATATACTGCAATAAAGGCAATAATATAAGGCAATAAAGGCAATAATATATACTCCAATATACGGCAATGCAGTCATGTCACTGTAACAGTGTGGCCACCCAGCTGCCGTGTCTAAACACGCTAGTGCCCTCTGGTGCATGTTTTATGCATGCATTATATACGATCTTTGGCTGTAGCTGAGTGACTAGGCCTACTGCGTTTTTACACTCTTTAGGTCATCGAGAGCACCATGGTGATTCTGAAACAGTTTGGCTACATGTTCGAGAAGCGAGGCATCGTCACGGTGAAGGGAAAGGGCGAAATGCTCACCTACTATCTCATCGGCAAGCAGGACGTACGCGCGACCATAACGGCACTTCCGAACACACCTGACATTGATATCCCAACGGTGACTTCCTACAAGTAGCAAGAGAACGACCGTGGCACTGTGGAGAAAATACCGTGGAGAAATGCAGCAGCCAACAAACGGCTATACAGGAATAAACAACGCAGAAATAATAGATAAAATAGGACATTAGGATAGGCTATTATAGGATATTATCAGGAGTAAGATAATATAGAATCTTCTATATTATCTTACTCCTGATATTATCAAGAGTGAATAATAATAGATTATTATATTATTATTATTACTATTATTATTCACTCCTGATATTATAATAGGACATGGGTGTGGGTATACAATTAAGGTGTCCTGGACTTATCCACTCAAAAAATGACTGATCTCACTAACCTTTGAAATAATTGATCCAAATTCTACCAATCCAATCGGAGTGTACCCTCCTACAGCAGGTAGTGATGTGATATTTGTTCCTCGATGTTGTTGTTTTATTATAGTACAAACTAAAAAGCATATAACTCGTTAGTGGTGCAACATGTCCGGTTGTAACTGCCAGAGGGGACACCTCGGGTGATCATGATGGATCACAAATGAGGGTCACCAATGGGTCATTCATAAGCAATTTTTCTGTGATCTTGCACAGAGTTCATGTGATTATTGAGCGTCAACGGCTTTGGCAGCAAAGGAAATCCAGTAAAGAACACTTTGTAGCTACACCTGCAAACATGAGTAGCAACTTACACGAGGTTTCGGGTATGTGCCAGTGTGGCGCACTAGGATACAACATATGTCAATGCCAATTCGATGGGGGTGAAACTTGTTACTAGGCTGCGATATATATACACCACGATCACACGTTCAGGAAAATCAAATTTAAAATAAATTCACGAGGAATGCTGAATATGTACTGTTAGTGTTACCATAAACATATTGGTTGGTTTATTATCCGATCGATTGACCGATTGATTTCGGATCAAGAATCACCCCAGAGCTTCTATCTCCATCTCCATATGAAAAGTTCAAGATACCAACGTATCCTACAAAACTTTAAACCAATGTTACAGTACTAAAAAGGAATCATGGCATTCTGATGAGAGATCACGTCACTTTATCTCTATTTGGATAGCAGCCTACAGATGGGATCAACAAAATTTCACACATTCGTCACAAAAATACTATTCTTTCATTGCCTCATTTTGTACCGAAAACACAATATTACGAATTCAAAGGCAGTAGCAAACACATATGCTAATGCATGAATACCGATACAGATTGCACGCATGCAATACATGCATCGTTTTTTATTCATCACAGTAAGGACAAAATTTAATTCATTGTTTAATTCGAACCTTTCTTTATTTGTTACCTACACTGAAACATGATAGTTACATTTACTACCTTTTAGACAAATGATGGAGAACATATATTTTTGGACATTTTTCTCATTCAACAATGGTCTCCAAGCAATGGCAACTCACATGCCTCTATTATGTATGGGTACAGAGTACAGACTATGGCTTTGAGTGTGTAGCTAGCTACCTAATCATACAAGATCGAAAGTGACAGGAAATTGCTTTTAGGGCAATGGTATATTTTTGCTGGAAATGTAGAGAAAATGCTACTTGACATTATACATGTAGTAAGTTATTATTCTATGTCGTGTGATGTGCCATAATTGCTACCTAAATATATTTTCCTTGTATAGTCTTTTGTGTCGTTACTAGAAATGTAACTGCAATGATCTACTACCATGGAAAACCAACTAATTTTGAATACGGTTACAGAAACCTGGCTTATTGTGAATGGTAATATTTCCCCTGCTTGCTTCTAAATAAATACGGGAAATTTTCATTTTTATATATGTATTATCTGGATAACATAGGTCTCACCTATTAGTGGATATATTGCCGATTACTCCAGCATAAAAATTACTAGGAAGTCATCCTGTTATCATACATATATATATATATATAGGAACTGAACAGAAACATAGTAGCCGTATTCCAGAGTATTACGCTAGTGTAATTTTAAAATGACCCCCGAACAAAGTGCATCTGTTTTTGTGTAATAAGAAAACAGTTGCCTTGCCATTGTACCAGTTTATGTAGCATATAAAAAACAGTTTCCAAACCATTCCACTTTATAACTATAAACTCATTAAGGTTAATTTAATTAAGGTATTTATAAATATATATTTGTGCTAAACTCTAAATGTGAGTCAATTCTTTTACACTTGAACTGATACCGAGCATGCGCATCTCAGACGTCAATCTCACCGCAGAGATGGAAAATGCTCTCGTTTGTGGCGGCGCAATTTAACCGATAAAAGCCGATAGTCACGTGATCTCTGTAGTAAGATTGGTCAGACGTAACACATTGGCTGGCCGGTGGTGTCTGGCACTCTCGCACAATAAGTCTGAGAACCATGTGATGCCTACAAATCACAAAAATGTGATCACTGTATAGATTCATGGATAGTGTTCCTCGATACATTAAAGGGATACATTACTCCAGGTTCTTTAGATATTTTCAGTTAAGATAGGTTAAAATTACACTTCATAAAAAGTTTCATGGTTCAATATTTATTAGAAATATTTTTTAAAATTGTTTTAAAACTGATGGCTATACTGTTGCTTACAACGACGGTGGCGCCACTGGCAGCGCATCCACTGAAAAAGTTGCCCAAAGCAACGTTTTGGCTGCAGGCTACAGATCGAGGGTGTTTCTTATTTATTAATATAAGAGCAGAAGGATTGCAATATCTTATAAACAATACTTAGTTTCAGTTATATGGATGAATTTTTCCTAAAATGAATATCGTTCAGTTAAATAGCATTTAGGTATAAATATAATTGCACTTTTGTGATTAGACCTCGGTCTGCAAGGTGCAAAATAAATATAGCATTTGCGTGCTTTTTTTAACTGCATGAATAATTGTGATACTAATGCAAGTGTCCAACAAAGATTAAACCAGGTATAAGGAATATAATACCAGTGCATGATATTTCAAAGACTGCACAAACAAATGGCAATGTTAAGCAGGTTATGTGAGATATGTATTTTTAATAGGTTACTGTTCTAATTAAACATGATATTACATGTCTAATTTCTCACTTGTTACAATTATTTCCCATTTCGTATACAAAACAAATGTATATAAACCACGAGCAGTACGTCATGTCAAACATTCCAGAAAAAAAAACAGACACAAATCATAAGTCATTATTTTTTGCATTTATTTTGTACAACAACAGCTAAATACACAGACCTTACTGCACTTCGCCTGCAGGCATACTTCTGATGATATCTGAATCGCCTACAAATGACAAGAAAATACAATTAATAACAATACGGGTAATACCTTTTAACTCATGATGTTGGCAGCTATTTTGGCTTTTAATATGTTAAATCCTGCCCCCAAAAGCCTTCCACAATGTTTACTCACTCCCCATTGATACTGACCAATTTCCTTCATTGTTACTGACCAGTAATTCATGTTTTACCATTATTAAATTCACACAAATTGAACTGCTAAATCAAAATTTAATTGTTTATCAAATTGAAGCTTGTATACTTTTCGAATAAAAACAGAACACATTTTGCGCAACATAAAAGATTACATATAACCCATTTATATATGGCAGGGTTTATATATATGACAATGAAAGACAAAATGTTTCAGATAGATCAGTTCATAGTATAAAGTGAATCTAACCATAATTATCTGAATTCTAATCTCTAACCAATTTCTTTTCTCTGATCAAGGATTTATATTTATAGTGTTATCCTACATCTCAAATACAGAGAAAACAGGGTAAATGGACATCGCCTGCAGAGGTGCACAATACCAGATAAGCACTGGAGAGCAGTAGAATTCCCTCCCCACTTCCCACTTCACATTTAGAAAAAATGTAGTAGTATGTCTAAACGTAGCTCTACTCATGTAGACCTTGGCTTTGCCACAGGGCTATACAGCAAAGTATGAAGGAACCTGATGAAAGAATCTTTGCAGCATGGCAGGTCATAAAAAAGACCCTAGCCAGCAAAATAAACATGTTGGCTATAGCCTGCCACTCTAGATACTCTACTCACCATCATTTAGCAATACTGGGATGCTCACTGATTGCAAACCAATTCACAAGCAGTGTTCACATCTATATTTTAATTGAAACAGCGGTGGCACTAGTGCCACACTCGACGTTTGCCACCAGGTCCCCCCTCTGTACTCTGATATATTACCAGACCTGCCAACCTGTGATTCATGAAAATAGTAAGGCTTTTTTTTTTGCAGCAGGCAGCCATTTTGTTTGTATGTTATGCGCGCAATGAATGATGGGACTAACTCTAGATCACGCGAGAACAACGTGAACGCGTGATCCAATATGGCTGCGCCCACAATCGCCAGATATTTCTCGGCTAACAATGTAAAAAACATTAATTTTCACAAGTCGTAAAAAATCGTAAGTTTTTCAGTTTGATCGTACATTCGTAGAAACATCATGGAATTCGTAAGGAATACGAAAAAATCGTAAGGGTTGGCAGGTCTGTATTACATAGCTCTGTGGCAGAGCCGACGGCTACATAGGTAGAGCTACGTTTAGACACACTACTACATTTCCAAATATATACACTGCATCATGCATGTAAAGCATTTAGCTTGGCACAAGTACTGCTGATGAACAAGCATATGCTAAGTACTGTGATTCTACAAGCTGCAGCAACCTTCATCAATATATACTAATAATCATGCAGGGTAAAATGTGATTTCACAGAGACTATGCTAGAAATGCTCACCTGGGTCAGTAATGCTCAATGTGCATACTCTGAAGTACTTTCCACAAGCTGTTCCCAGCTCAATGTTGTTTCCAGAGTAATGATGCACTCCAGTTTTTGCCAACATGGCATAGTACTCTATCTCACTTTTCCTGTGAAATTAAACCAAATGATATCACTAGTGAAGAACATGATTACAAATCATTGGAGAACATTGATAGGTCACCTAGTTTGTTAGATGTGGAACTCCGAGCTACACTTATGCAATTAGATGTGCATGTACCAAATGAAATTCTTTTAATACAACATAACAATTACAACGTACCCCAATTAAAATTTTCTAGCAAACTTATCTTTTATATAGAATAATTCCATAAATCTATCATTAGTAACAATTAATAGATTTACGCATGAACATGTACTTATAGAGTTTAAACCTGAAGAAACTCAATAAGACTATAAATCAACATAAGACAATATATAAGACAATATTTGACGCTGTACCTGAGCTGTGGCGTGTTGTTTCCAATGATCACAAGCTTGGCTTTGCCATTACGCAGTGACTTTAACGTTTCCTTGTATCCAAGAACGAACTTCCCACTCTTCATCACTAAAGCCAGGCGAGAGTTGATGCTCTCCATCGCCTTTTTCTGCACAAAATCAGAAAACGTTAGTGCATGACAAATTACTCCACAAGAGCACAATCTTTGGTCCAAATTAGGAATACAAACTCATTCACAAACGTTCATAACCAGTCGTACCTGCTTTTTAGGGGGCACCATGTTGCGGTAGTGTGAAATGGCCTTCTGGAAAAAACAGTCACAAAGATAAATGATACTTCTTAGAATATTAATTTAACCCCAAATAGTATGTCATGACAACAACAAGAACTTTGAATGAGATTAATGTGACTAACCGTAATGCCGATTTGGGCTACGAGTACGATTCAGACCAGCTCCAGTACTATAGCCCGCGTAGTTGCCGCAGGGCTATAGAACATTTTATGCTAGGTTTTGCAACTGCACCTGTTCCCCAAAGCTCCCACGAAAAATCGCCCACAAAACGCAAAATGATCGGGCTTTTTAACACTTATCTATCTACATAGACATCTCACCTATCTTTTTGAACACTTTCCACAACTTTACACTATGTATTTACGCATTTATTCCTCACAAGTCAGCACTACTGGCAATTTCGTTTGAAATGCTGTCGCGTACGCGCGTGACGTCACCCGAAATGTAATAGGCTGCACCATAGCTGCCATGTGTTTTGTCTACATATTCGGCGACGTCACGCATGCACACGCTAGAGCATTTCAAACGAAATTACAAGTAGTGTCAAGACTTTGAGGGATAAATGCATAAATACATGGTGTAAAGTTGTGGAAAGTGTTCAAAAAAATAGGTGAGATGTCTATGTAGATAGATAAGTGTTAAAAAGCCCGATCATATTGCATTTTCTGAGCGATTTTTTGTGGAAGCTTTGGGGAACAGGTGCAGTTGCAAAACCTAGCATTAAATTTTCTATAGCCCTGCGGCAACTGTACGCTGGCTATAGTACTAGAGCTAGATTCAGACAAGACCACACAGTGACACACTACACTACACTGCACTGCAGAAATACCGTTTATTAAAAATATTATTGACACGTAATCAACATCACACGGCTTTGCTTAGCATGAGAAAAGGTCAATGCATGATAAAAGAAATTGTAAAGAAAGTTCTTCTCAAGTTGATTGCCAACAAGGGAATATGAATAAATCACAACCTCAGTGTGTAGTCCGACTGTAGTGTACCTACTGACGCTGATAGGGTCTATGTCCCCCAGGGTACTGCCGTAACGTACCCTGGGTACGGTCCGGTATACCGGAACGTACCCTGGTACTAAATACTACGGGCCATACTATCTAATATGCCGGACTGTACCTCGCCTACTCCACTTACGAGACTAGGAAGCCGCCTACGCCTATACTCCCTAACCCTAACCATGTCAGCTAGAGTTACCAGGGTACGTTCCGGTATACCGTACCGTACCCAGGGTACGTTCCGGCAGTACCCTGGTGGACATAGACCCTATGAGCCCTACTGACAGTACGGTCACTGTTTAGTGTTTTACTTTTACTTTTAGTGCATGATGATGATATTTTGCACCACCAACAAATGTGAAAACTTCTGACCACCAAATCAACTGTTTAACGTATTGTGGCTTTTACATGTAATTATATTTAACTATGCACGTGGAAAATAGTGGTGAACTGTAATTTTGTAGCTTATACTATAAACGTGAGCAGGAATTATCGAAATTTTGTCGGAGACAACATACCGCAAACCAAGCACACGATCACGTTTGGGGGAAAAGGGATCCCGGATGTAACGCGAATTCTCGCGTGAAATCCCCCTAGCGACAAAGTAGAAACAGTTTTGTAAACATTATGGATGCTGTTCAGCTTCAATCAATGGGAACGTGTTAACTAGCAAAGACAGAAGTCAGAAGTAAACAAAAATGTTCATTTACTTGAGCAAAAAGGTTAGAAATGTCGAGATGCGAA